GTTCATCTCACAAGCCAAGTCTTACCTTGACCCGACGGGTCACTGTTCTACGAGATAAACTTATTTTCTCAAATTTGCTCTTGCTCTCTGGACAAAGAATATCTACAGTTTCTATCATACACTCCTGCAAAAGTTCCCTTTCAGAGAGCGGCTTGCTTTCTTTAGCAATCTCACATGCAGGCAGGTAGCGTGCCTCTGCGCTGGCCTCTTGGATAGTAGAAGGGTGGAAAAAGAGATGTTGCTGAGCCTGTAAACCAGCGGCTGGTTGGGAAGCTCTATCAGCCGCTCCTCGCAAGACAGATTGCCATCAGAGTTAGCATGTTTGGCAGAAAAATGCCAACTGAGATTGTATTCTTTGAACACTGCGAAACGTTGCTTACAAACTAAACACACAGCCTTTGCTCCAACCTCTGTGAAACAGTCTCTTGCAGTCTATTCTTTCTTGAACACTCTGCATTCACTGCCAACGTGCTGCTTGTTCAATCCGCTCATGTTGGCGAAGGGACGATGGACCCACTCTGACTGGTGAATCAAACTGGGAAAGCAGGGGTTCCCAAAATTCTTGGGTCGGTCCCTCCCATGACCTGTCAAATTTTCCACATGCCTCCCATCTCAAAAATAAGCTCTATGGCAGTGCGATATTTTACAAAACACTATAAATCTGAAAAGGAAATGATGGGTCAAAATAAAAACAAACTTGATCCAATTTTTTTTTGTTTTTTAATCATTTTCAAAACCAAAATCCTTTTTGGTTAATAATGACTTTTAAAAAATAGTCAACACCTTTGTAAAATGCAAATAAAATGACTTAGAAACATACAAATTTAACATGCATGTTTTTACAAAAGGGGGAGTAATACAATGTCTTTTTGTTTGTGCCTCTTAATGGGTAGGTGGGCTTGTTTAATAAATGATGTCAACATAATTCACCACAAATACAGGTAGTATTTTTTAAATGGCAACACGCATCTCCTTCTCAACATTGACTCAATCTGAACTTGGGTTTGAAACCGCAGGTGCTGAAAGCCCAGCCTCACAGAGGCAGGATATTGCAAAGGGAAGCAGAACTCACAGAGCTCTGGTGCTTATTCCTTGGTACTCCAGCAGTATGAGATTTTTGCATTGTGCTACTCGGTACGCTACTTTGTATGATGAAAGAAGAACTTTGCTGGGACTGTATCTTGGTTAGAAAAAGCAGCTTTCTGTTCATTCA